TCTTTTTGTTTTGTTTTTTTTTTTTTATTTTTTTTTTTTTTTTTTAATTCCGCTTTTCCTATATTTTGTTTCGCTGATCACCAAGACAGTATATTATAATTTTTTTTAAAATTTATTTATTATTATTATTATTATTATTATTATTATTATTATTATTATTATTATTATTATTATTATTATTATTATTATTATTATTATTATTGTGTAGAGACTCAATTTTACTACACTCTACCAAAACTTGGGAAAAAATAATTTCTGCAATTTTTTTTTTTACCATAGTTTTGGTCATTTGTGAAGAAAGAACTGAAATTGCGACAAGAGTTTATGAAGACACCTTAACCCAAGTTTGACAAACATTTCATTTTAAAAGTTCAAATATTTTAAGAATCATTCGATAGTAAAATTAACTAGTTTATTTAAAATGTTCAAATAATTTTAGAGCCATTCGATATTAAAATTAACTCATTTAAATCCATTATTTTTTTTTTAATTTTCAAATAATTTTAGAACCCTTCGATAGTAAAATTAACTCATTTAAAATTCCTTTTTTAAAAAATCAATGAAACACTACAAAATGAGTTGTTAAATAATAGAACCACCTTAGAACAACAAGAAGCTTTGTTACAAAATTAACTCATTTAAAAGTCATCTAACAACAAGACCACAAACTTTTAGTTTAATTTAAAAAGTAAGTAAGTGATTATTCCCCTTAATTAATTACTATATGGGTTTGCGCCTTGGTTTAATTACTATTTGGCTTTGCGGATGAAATCGCGAAGGCGCGCCTAAAGGCGCAGCTATACCCGCTTTGCGCCTGAAAAATACGGTCCCATTAGAACATAAAGTACTGCTAGAGCCAAGTTCAATTTCAGTAGGATTCTCCATTTTATGGCGATATCAACCCACGAGGGGGGTGTTAGGGCATTTCACACACACACACACAAAAGGGGGGAGGACTGCAACCGGAGAGCTATTGACTTTTAAGTTATGATATAAATGTTAATATTTTTTTTTTATCAAGATCTTCCTAAAATATTTACTTTAAATAAGAGTTACAAATCGATGTTATGTGGTTTACAGTTTCTTTTGTAATTCAGCATAAAAATTTGAGAAATTAAATTATTAATTATTTTTTTATCCAAGGATAAGGATTGTGCGATAAAAAGTTTGAACACCCTTGTTTTATATGTTCGCTAAATTCACGATAGTTCTTAAACACATTCAGTAAACAGTTTGTGGCTACTTTGTTCATTCTTAAACGAAAAACACACAAATAATAATACACACATGATAACACACAAACAATAACACAAAGATAATATCACTTAAACAGTAACACATTATCAGGTTAACACGATTTATTATTTAAACAAAATTAAACTAAGTGATAAATGAAGTATGAAACATAAATTCCTAAGTCAAGTCAAAATTCCTATCAAAATAAGTTAACCACCCCCCTCCCCCGGGGACCGGAAAAAAAAAAACAAGTCCCCTCTTCTTACCCCACCCGACAACCCCCCCCTCTCCCCCCATAAGTTAACCACCCCCCTCCCCCGGGGACCGAAAAAAAAAAACAAGTCCCCTCTTCTTACCCCACCCGACAACCCCCCCCTCCCCCCCCTCCAACATGTTTTCAAACACCCAGGGTAAATGTTTCGCCAATTTGTTCAATATATCCTTTTTTTTAATTTAAGTTTTCCCTCTCTACACTATAAGTGAATCAACAGATTATGGATGTCGCGATATCACGTGATGTGACATGGATCGGCGATGAACGGATGACTGCTGGAGTTGTCACTGCCATCCAATCCCCGCCAGGTGGAAGGCCCTCCGCCTTACCCCCACCCCCCATATCCTGGACTTTATTACCGGGGACAGTTAGAGGCGTATCTCTGACAGTCCCTGGTGTAGGAATCAAACACCATCCTGGCCACCAACTGGTTACCATAGTAGTAGGACTCTGCACATGGTCTGGAGAAGAAACAGTTTGATATCAGGGAAATTTTATGCAAATTTTTGTTTAAACAAAAATCGTTTAACTTTTTGTAATAAGTAAAAAGTAGGTTATTTTCTATAGACTATATCAAAAATGAATTGATTAAATAAATCAATGTTAAAAATCTGAATACTTGATCTCCTTTATTTTATCTTCTGATTTTTTTATGTCTAGTAAGCAATGGTGACAACTGGGTGGCGTAGCTAGGGCTAGAGCCACCCAGGGTGGGAAGAGAATCTTGAGATTCGCCCCTTCTTCGAAAAAAACAAACAAAAAAACAAAAAAGAACTCTACAGTTGGTCGAAAATGTCGCCCCTTCATTTAAAGAAAAAAAGTACCACCAGTGCGTACACCCCACCCCACCCCACCCCCCTTACCTCAGACCTCCGTTCCTACAGCACTAGAGACAATATATCACGTAGTACTAGACTAAATAATATATAACTGATCAAAGACGCATAATTCGCCAAGGGCATATAATCGACCAAGGGTGCATAATTCACCAAGGGCATATAATCGACCAAGGGCGATTTAATTTTTATTGACACATAATTGACCAAGGGCGCATAGTTGGCCAGTGGTGAATAAGTGGCCATGGGCGAATAAGAGAATAAGGCAGATTATTAATCGGGTGCACATAATAGACAGGGGGCTCATAATTAAATATGGGCGAACATTTGTTCTTATATGTTTGGCGGGCCATGTTGGGTGCGTGTGGACGGGGGGGGGGGGTGTGGGCGCCTGTTCGGGTGTTTGAGGATCCCTGCAGTAAGTGCGTACCTGATGTACAGTATTCCGTTGGAGCAGGTGGCGTAGTAGCCGAGCTGACAGAAAGAACACATGGGGTAGTCACCATTGGCGACGCCCTTGCACGCCTTCTCGTTAAAGATGTCAATGCACGAATAGGGTGAGGCTGTGGACGGGATGGAACGATAAGATGTTAGAAATATAAGATGGTGGCAGGGAGAGATGAAGAGACTTTAGAAATGTATGGTGTCAGAAATAAAGAACGGGAGTGGGGAGAGATGGGGAACGTTAGAAATATAAGATGGCAGTTGACAACAGACCTTCGAAATATAAGGTGTTAGAAACATATACTGTTGTGGGGGGACACCGGGAGATGTCAGACATGTAAGGTGTTCGAAAGAAGCTGGGATTGGGGAGAGATGGGGAGACAATAGAAATATAATGCGTTAGTGGGGAGAGACAGGGAATCTTTATATCTATAAGATATTAGAAGCAAAAGATTGGGATTGGGGAGAGATGGGGAGATGCTAGAAATATAAGATGGTTGTGGGGAGAGATGAAAAGAAAAGAAAAAAAAGCAAAACAAAAAAGTTAGTATGGATGTCACGATGATTGACAGAGCTTTTATTGGGCTTTAGTGCCATTGATGATGATGATGATGATGATGTTTCGAGGAAATAAAGCGAAGTTGCGAAGAGAATGAAATGAAATGGATGATTTTGTTTAAAATAACTCTAGTACGTCTTGTTAGCCGCGCTGTCACCAAGATTGAAATCGTGACTTAGACCAGTGGTTCTCAGCCTACCTAATGCCGCGACCCTTTAATTCATTTCCTCATGTTGTGGTGACACACAACCATGTAATTATTTTCGTTGCTACTTCATTAATATATATGTTTTTCGATGGCAACCCCTGTTTAAGGCTCGTTCGAACCACAAAGGGTTCACGACCCACAGGTTGAGAACCGCTGACTTAGACAACGTGATTGCTATAAGTGTAAATAAGAAACATATATAATTTGATGTCGTATTGGATGGAGACCTGAAATAGCAATATTATTATTAATAACTTTTTTTTAAACCACCATTTTGGCCAGTGGTTTCCCAAACGTTTTCTATCCACAACGTCCTTGTTGAATATCACCATCATCATCATCATCAGATCCGCTACAGACCATGTAGGCCCCTGGCCTGCTCCACCACATCCTTCCATTCAGATCGATCCACTGTTTTCCGCCTCCATGCGCGAACATCCAACTGTTGTAAATCCTTCTCTACATCGTCGATCCATCTCAGTCTTGGTCGATCGGTGAGTCATCAGCCCCTAGGCTTCAGCTTGTATATCACTATAGCCCTTGCCGAATATTAAGTGCCTAATGTCTAATTTTAACACTTTGCAATTTTATTTGGTCGGTAAAAAATATAATATTAAATGTTCGGTACAAAAAAATACAATATTAAATGGTCGGTTATGAAATGTTTGGTATCGTAGAATACACTCACGTCTCGCCGCAGCACTGGGGGCTGGCTGGTAGTCGGCCGTGCTGTAGACAATAACGGCACACAGGACCAAAGCTGCAAGCTGGAAGCACTTCATGGTGAACAACAGTCGATGTCTTCTGGGGATCTGGTAAAGAACACATAATCGTGATTGGCTATCTAGGAGTTTTTACATGATACGATGTACAATGCGACTGTGCTGAATTTCGGCTGGGTGTGTATCGAGTCGAATGAGGACAAAGGGAAAGACTAATATGACACAATGCAAAATGTCACCTAAAAATCATGAAAATACATGCGGCATATGATTACGTTTTGGATTTGGTCACTAAAACATGAAAAGAGGAGATTGGTAAAATAAGCGATCATTTGACCAATCATGATGCCATATTTTTTTTTTTTTAATGGAAAACCATAAATCTCAAAGTGGACCAAGACAAAATCGATCATTTTGGAAAATGCCCAGCAAAATAATAATAATAATAATTAATTTAATTAATTTTTTAAAATCATGCTTTGTGTATTTTTTTGTAGCCTCGGCCATCAGTGAACAATTGGTATAAAGAGGTTATTTAAAAACCAAACATCTTTTTTTAATGACGATACTTTTAATGATTTTCTGTCGAAAATTTTATTTTCCGCAAAATTATTCTTAGACATTGATCCTTTAATTTTTCTTCTTTCAAGAACGAGAGGATATACAGCAGTGTTTTTCTAACTTTTTATTGGAATGGCAACCTTTGGAGCTCTCAGATTTCTCGCGGGAACCACATGCAGCGACACAAGGGTTGGTTCTAATCCGAATGGGTATCCTGTCTTAGTGAATCCTATAGCTACTTATTTGTCACTGTACTGACCAACTTTAAGATTTCGATGGAAAACGTCAATATTGGTCATGTTTGATTGCTCTAGAGATTTAGTTTGGTCATCAGCAGTAGCTTCAGTCGTCTGCTCTAGAGATTTAGTTTGGTCGTCAGCTGTGGCTTCAGTCGTCTGCTCCTGAGATTTAGTTTGGTCGTCAGCTGTGACTTCAGTCGTCTGCTCCTGAGATTTAGTTTGTTCGTCAGCTGGACAGCTGTAGCTTCAGTCGTCTGCTCCTGAGATTTAGTTTGGTCGTCAGCTGTGACTTCAGTCGTCTGCTCCTGAGATTTAGTTTGTTCGTCAGCTGGACAGCTGTAGCTTCAGTCGTCTGCTCCTGAGATTTAGTTTGGTCGTCAGCTGTGGCTTCAGTTTTCTGCTCTAGAGATTTACTTTGGTCATCAGCTGTGGCTTCAGCCGTCTGCTCCTGAGATTTAGTTTAGTTGTCAGCTGTGGCTTCAGTTTTCTGCTCTAGAGATTTACTTTGGTCATCAGCTGTGGCTTCAGCCGTCTGCTCCTGAGATTTAGTTTAGTTGTCAGCTCTAATTTTCTTTTCTTAATAAATCGGTCCATGGTCGCGCAAAAACAACCGCTTTGTTAACACCAATGATAACGCTGAACGCTCAATTGGACACCAACGGAAACAGGTCGTATAAAGTGGATAAACAACGACTAATTACCGCAGTGCCCGAATATTGGCGATTTCGGACGTTTTTAAAAAAATGTTTTTTCTGGCCACCGACGGAACCCCTAATTGGCTCATACGGAACCCATCTCCGTGGAACTTTTTAAAAAAATGTTTTTTCCGGCCACCGACGGACCCCCTAATTGGCTCATACGGAACCCATCTCCGTGGAACCCCTTTTAAAAAAAAAAAAAAAAAAAAAAGATACAATTACTAAAACAAAAACACCTTCCTAGACCGAGTTTACATTTCACATAAGCAAGAGTCGTTTGATTTACTTAATAGGAATGAAATCAACCTTGAACCAAACGGTGACTAAAGCTAGAATACTTACAATAGAAAGAGTTGAGCAAGTAGCGGTGACTCTGACGGAGACGGTGTAACTCTTGCAAATGTCCACCTCGGGGTTTTTATAAGCAGGCAATGCAACAACGCCCCAAAAATCCGGGACGAATTTTAACGAGGTATTTCAATTGAGTCGCTCCACTGCTTTTAATCTGGGAGCGACCAATACTTGTTTGATCTTTATCATCTTAAAACCTAAGGACGTTCTTCATCTCCATAATAATGCTGTTGTTCAAGATTATTGAAATGGTTACAATGTTGGCTTTTTTTTTACTTCTTTTTTTTTTCTGTAATCTCTTGATTTCCTCATTGGACCATCAATAGCCCCGGGGTATGATAAGTTATTTTTGTCTTTAGCGGCTAACGTAATCCAGTCCAATATATCCGGGATGACCGAGTAAGGTTTGGCCTACCACAGCAAGATGGGAAGATATTGCTAGCCATGTACTGTCCCAGGATTGTATAGCTGAGTTGTTGATATGTATTACAACATCAAGATGGAAAGATGTGGTTAGTCATATACGGGGGGGGGGGGGGGTGTACACTTTCATGTTTTGCATAAATCATGCAGATGTAAAGAGACTTTTAAAGTCGTAATAGCTCTTTTGGAAACTCCTTCGGGATTTTACTTTAAGGTTACTCTTGTTCGACATGCTCTTGTTTTACACTGAACTTTTACTCTTGCTCTTCACTGAACATTTACTCTTGTTTTCTTTTACTCTNCTTTTACTCTTGTTGTATATTGAAATGTTACTTCTTGTTTTACACTGAACTTTTACTTCTTGTTTTATATTGAACTTTTACTTCTTGTTTTACACTGAACTTTTACTTGTTTTATATTGAACTTTTACTTCTTGTTTTACACTGAACTTTTACTTCTTGTTTTACACTGAACATTTACTATTGTTTTACACTGAACTTTTACTTCTTGTTTTATATTGAACTTTTACTTCTTGTTTTATATTGAACTTTTACTTCTTGTTTTATATTGAACTTTTACTTCTTGTTTTACACTGAACATTTACTCTTGTTTTATATTGAACTTTTACTGCTTGTTTTATATTGAACTTTTACTTCTTGTTTTACACTGAACTTTTACTTCTTGTTTTACACTGAACATTTACTATTGTTTTACACTGAACTTTTACTTCTTGTTTCATATTGAACTTTTACTTCTTGTTTTATATTGAACTTTTAATTCTTGTTTTACACTGAACTTTTGCTTTTGTTTTATATTGAACTTTTACTTCTTGTTTTATATTGAACTTTTAATTCTTGTTTTACACTGAACTTTTACTTCTTGTTTTATATTGAACTTTTAATTCTTGTTTTACACTGAACTTTTACTTCTTGTTTTATATTGAACTTTTAATTCTTGTTTTACACTGAACTTTTACTTCTTGTTTTATATTGAACTTTTAATTCTTGTTTTACACTGAACTTTTACTTCTTGTTTTATATTGAACTGTTACTTCTTGTTTTACACTGAACTTTTACTTCTTGTTTTACACTGAACTTTTACTCTTTTTAGATGGAACTTCCACTTCTTGTTTTACACTGAACTTTTTTTTTCTTGTTTTACACTGAACTTTTATTTCTTGTTTTACAATGAACTTTTACTCTTTTTAGATGGAGCTTTCACTTCTTGTTTTACACTGAACTTTTACTCTTGTTGTATATTGAAATGTTACTTCTTGTTTTACACTGAACTTTTACTTCTTGTTTTATATTGAACTTTTACTTCTTGTTTTACACTGAACTTTTACTTGTTTTATATTGAACTTTTATTTCTTGTTTTACACTGAACTTTTATTTCTTGTTTTATATTGAACTTTTACTTCTTGTTTTACACTGAACTTTTACTTCTTGTTTTCCATTGAAATTTTACACGTGTTTTACATTACATGTTCACTCTTGTTTTACATTACATGTTCACTCTTGTTGTACTGAAATTTTACTCTTGTTTTGCATCAGATATTTGCTCTTCCTTTGATATGAAAATGTTCCTTTGTCTTCCAATGGACATTTGCTATTTTTACGCTTTACATTCACCGATGACTTTAAAAAGAGACACTGCTCAATAAATACGTAAGTTTTACTCAACATAACCAAGAGCAAGACGAACGACAAAGAGCAGAGAGAGGTGTTGTAGGGAAGATAGGACAAGCCTGTGTCTGTAAAAACTGGGAAGCCTTATGATGAAGAGATAAGAAGTTGCCGTCTCTAGTACTAACCAAGGGTACCCACAGATGTCGTAAGTCGGATTCTTGATGGGACTAAAATTCATTATGGACTCACCAGCTGCTCCCCTCCCCCAACCACTGCTACGCCCTGCTCCGTGAATTATTTCAGACCCAGGGAAAACCTTTTTTTCAGAGCTGCCCACCTGGCATAAGTTATTTCAATTGCACCACTAAAAGTGTTAAAAAATCTTTATTTCGTTTTATTCCTATGGAACTCGACTGTCTCTGGGAGACGTCTGTGTGTGCACAGTTTACAAGACTTGACTAGACAAGACGGTTGGGATATGCACGTTTTGTTGAATGTACTATTTTAAAATGTATCTGAAAATGGAAGGTATTAAAAAAAATATTAATTTGTAAAGAGGGGGGGGGGTAAAGAATAATTTTTAAACGTTTATAATATCTCATTAAATGAAAGAATGTATCTGAAAATAGAAGGTATTAAAAAAAATATTAATTTGTAAAGAGGGGGGGGGGGTAAAGAATAATTTTTAAACGTTTATAATATCTCATTAAATGAAAGGGGGTGTCAGCGAGCACTCCCCTCGGGCGCCAACATTAGGGGGACGTCAAAGTAGTCTTCAGAACGGACCTTAATCGTGAATCAAACGATACCATCCCGTTTTTCACAAAGTCTAGGGGCGCCATAATCTTCTTTTTTACTGGTCCACCCGCGTGGAACCATTTATCTATTTATTTAGGGCCATGCAGGAGGAGATTTGGCCTAAAGGAAATCTTACTTTTGGGCCCAAGGAAATTTGAAAATAATTGTATCAAAGTTATCAAATTCCGCCCAAGAGGGCCGGGGCCCCCCAAGTGATTTATTTGTTGCCTCGGCCTCTGAGCGACCCTGGGCACGGCGCCAGGGTGTCAATAAAAATAATAAATAAAAATAGGGCCTATGAATGCATTCTTTGCGAACTACTGGTGTAATAGAAAAAATGAACCATGTCTTTTTTTTTGAAAAAAAGAATGTATTCTTTTAATATCGGGCGGATTGAACCAGCTAAATCCGGTGACATCGAAAGTACGAGGATGAAAAACTATCGAAGCCTAGGATCCTCGTACTAGATATTTGCTACTTTACTCATAGCCCTCAAGCTATCGGTCGTGCTTTTAGCAAAAAAAAATTATCTTCAGATGGCTCAGATCGCAGCTTCCTTGCCGCTACCAAGCGTTTGATAGTCATCGATATTTTGGGTGCTGTAACCTCTTTGATAGCAATGGGAGAAATATATTTTACTAGACACAGCCCGCCAACCTATTGGTGACACAGTTACAGTTGATGAATTGTGTTGTAAGCCCAACAGTTACAGTTGATGAATTGTGTTGTAAACCCAACAGTTACAGTTGATGCATTGTGTTGTAAACCCAACAGTTACAGTTGATGCATTGTGTTGTAAACCCAACAGTTACAGTTGATGCATTGTGTTGTAAGCCCAACAGTTACAGTTGATGAATTGTGTTGTAAGCCCAACAGTTACAGTTGATGAATTGTGTTGTAAACCCAACAGTTACAGTTGATGCATTGTGTTGTAAACCCAACAGTTACAGTTGATGCATTGTGTTGTAAGCCCAACAGTTACAGTTGATGAATTGTGTTGTAAGCCCAACAGTTACAGTTGATGAATTGTGTTGTAAACCCAACAGTTACAGTTGATGAATCGTGTTGTAAACCCAAGAGTTACAGTTGATGAATTCTGTTGTAAACCCAACAGTTACAGTTGCAGTTGAATTGTGTTGTAAACCCTACAGTTAGTTTATTCAGTAAATAATGTGTGTGAAAAAAAAAACATGTTTAAAAAATGTAATGTTTCACCAATTTAAGGGTCTACTCATTGGAGAACTGGGGCCTTTCAATTATAAACCATTACAGAAATTTACGAGGAAAATAGAATAGGTTTTCTTTGGGTTTTAAAAAAAAATTAAATGAGTTGGTTTATTTGTTTTTCTCTCTCTTTATCGTGTTAGCCTCTTACCACAGACGCAGTAAGAACTGAGAAGAGCGGGGGTGGGGGGGGGGTAAGGGGGGTAGAGCGGTGTCTGCCCAGATGACACTAAGTGTTGTTAAAAGGAGGGGGGGCTTTTTATGTATATGTATTCCTTAAAGTTAGTCGTTTTCATGAATTATTAGGGGCAGCAAAGTCAAGGACCGCCTCGGAAAGAGGGGGGGGGGCACACAGACATCCACTTCCGCTCGACTTCCTTCTGCAAATCCATGGAAGGGTTTGCATATTTGGGCCCAATTGCATAATGTTTTTTTCGTGGAAGACGGGTGACAGAAATATTGGTCCTGTCCGGATGGCACTAGCCATTATAGCTCGATATAGCTCGCAAGGGAAAGCCAGCTAGACCCTCATGGTTGTGTGCTATTGAATAGTGTCCCCAATATCGATGAAGGTCGTCTGCGGGATCCAGGACCAGGATTTGTGTTAACGCTTGACATTTTGAGACCCACCTCAGGGTGTATCCGCCCTAACCACGGACGCTTCCCTGATCAAAGGGCGATAACTATCGTGTTGACAAGATTTTTTAATGGGGCTATCGAGTAGTCGCACTATTGCACAGCAGCTCACTAAATAGATATGCGATTGAACAACTGCTCAGAAATGATTGGAATTTGAAAGTTTAATATTATTAAATTTAAATAATGCTATGTATAAACCCAAAAATTTAAGGATTGTAGATGCTCCTGGGTGATATGAAAGGGTTTATGGTTAAAATGTAAGGGCTTAGGATCTGAATGTAAGGGTTCACGGGCGATTTAAGGGTGTGGGATGGAATGGAATGTAAGGTTTCGGGAGTAGATGTAACGGT